TGTTACCTGAATGATCTCTACACTGAGCTCTGCTGACAAGGTTGTAGGTGCTCGAATGATAAAACTGAAAACCAATTACCTACCTAACAAACAAATATCCAGGTCCAGCCCTAACAGAAAGATAGATACATAGATAGTTTTGTTGTAATCTTAGAAAAACAATAAGTTATGGGACAACAAAATAAAAAGATACTGCACTTATGCTGAGTTGCAGTGTGCCTATGTACAGTACATATATAGGTGCAATTCAAATGCAAACATCAGTGCAGTGTAACAAGTGCTGTTGTACTGATGTTGACTCAGGTCCCAAACAGTCGGTGCCAGTGTTTGTCTGTGTTCAGTTCTCTGCCAAACAAGCAATGTGAAGACTTCACCTGGGCTACATTCAATAACCACAGCTGGAAGTGTTCATTGATTAACAGCAAATTAATCAGCAACTTTGTAGTTTCAGCATTTCACCGTTTTACTCACATGCCTTCACTTTCACTAATATTCTGTGCATCCACAGCTTCTGATCTCTCGCTTTCTCTGTCTTTCTCTCTGCTGGCCTGATGAGTCCTGTCTCACACTGTCAGGAGCCTTTTTCACACATGAACTCCAGACTATGCCCTTTCACACATGTAGCACACAACAGGAGGTAGTTATGGTTTATGGGGTGGGGGTGGGCATGTAGCCAGTTTGTAATTTGGTCATAAACAACGAGACTCTCGCTGTACCTTTAATCTGTCTGACAATTCTGGCGCCAGCTCTTAATGACAGAAGTTCCAGAGTCTCGTCGTGTCTGCAGTTAGATGTTTTCGTTGACATCTTGATTGTAAATGACCTTTTCCTTTACCAACAAACGTTTGTATTCTTGCCATTTCGCACTAGTCACATGATAGAATGTCATTAATTTGCCCACTTGCTCCGTGTAAATACTCCATAGTATAAGCTGCTGTATTCTCACATGGCCTCACTCCAGCTCACTCAGACCTTATGCGGACTTTGGACTAGAGCGCTGGCAGAGTAAAGTCTGCTTAACATCCGGGTCGACTGACTTAGACATTTGTGTTCTCACATACAGCTCCCCTGAGTAATGTCAAGAAAATTTCAGGGTTCCAGTGCATGTCTGAAAAGGACTACTGCTGCATATTAGCAGTCATCCCAGTGCTAAGTATCACAGCTAGTTTAGTGCTCTCCATTCTTATGGGTAGCTGCCAAAAGCACCACATGGTACATATGGATGGTAGAGACAAACTTATTAATAAAATAACACACATTTTGATCTCATGTGCCAAACAGCAGTAAAATGATGTCACTGGAGCTGGATACTGGTAGATGATGAACACTGGGGCTCTTATATTTTTACATCCTTAAGGAGTACATTCACATAACAAAGGAGACAGGAAGGGCGATAGGGCATTATGATTACTCCAGCTGTACTGTCTTTATGAGCACTTATCCATTGCTGCATCAGTATTAACCATGACACAATGTATCACAGTACAATGGAAAAGGAAATATACATTAGCAAAATTTTATGACTCATAGTCAACTTTTTCCTTGTATACATTAAATGCAACAAAACAATTTAACACAATCCACTGATAACTGTCAGAGGTCTCAACAGCTGCCTGAAAACCTGGCAAGTCTTAAAATGAGCCCTTGTCCTACTCTAGAAATCCAAAAATAGTTTGTGTGAAGGTTTAAGGTGGGGTTTGCTTCAGTGGCTCAGAGAGCTCAAAGTCCTGCAACTTAAGACAACACATGCAAATAGACTAAACATACAAAATAAGAAAACACTCATTACTTTGACAGCACATGCTTAGCATCTAGAAAAACACAACACAGCCAAAAACATGAAAAAAGGAGGCTGCATATAGCACAGAAAACAACTGAAATGTTTCCAGGGGACACTAAAAAGTGATGAACACAGATGCAGCACAGGGACATGTTGCCATGGAGACTCTTGTCCATCAGTGGTGTGGAAAAACTCAAGTTTTAAAAACAATCTGCCTGCATGATCATTAGACATCTGCTGTCAACCTGACAGTGTTTCTGCAGCCAATTTCTAAATCCTGTGTGTATGTTGTGTTATGAAACTGGTGAAGAATGGTTTCTTATTGCATTTTATCTATCTGCATGTCATTTCTGCAGTAACAGTACGCCGAGCTCTCGGGGCCACCGTAGTTTGTTGCAAACCGAATCCAGCCAGATTCAGACATTTTGCAGTTCAACTGAAAAAAAAATAGCTTATTCTTTAAATTAATTTTAGGTAAATAAAGATCCACTTGTAAAAAGCAGTTTCATTTGATATTTTCAGACAATCAAATGGTCTTGTACTTATATAGCACCTTTCTATGCAAGGAAGCACACTCAAAGTACTTTATTAGCCCATTCACCCACTCGCACACTGGTGATATAACCAGGAGCAAGTTGGTGTTAAGTGTCTTACCAAGGACACATTGACATGTAAACCGGAGAAGCGAGGGATCAAACCACCAACACTATGGTTAGGAGACTATCCGATTAAAACAGCTACAACAGAAACCCCTAATTAATATAAACAAAATATAAAAGAATGTTTAACAGACATAGAGTCTGTTGCAGGGACTACTATAATCATCATACTGGTATGATTGATCATCATACTGGTGATTGTATGCATCAAAGGATTAAGTCAATCATTTATGGAGTGCTTTATAGGAGATTTCAAAATATCAAGATATATATATCATGTATCACGATATAAATATCTCAATATTATTTATAGGCCATATCGCCCAGCCCTGAATCCTCATAGAATAGAATAAAATAGAATAAAAGCGGCTAACTAAAAAAGGCTTGTTATAATTTTATCAATACATTTTTTGTCATGTGACTGCTCAGTCAGTCATTGCCGGCATCGTATCTATGAATCCATATCTCATTTTCTCGTGTTATCTAGGTTGAGACAAATTGTTATTGCTGCTTATTTATTGTGTGATGTGTTTCTGTACTCTACACAAGATCTCTGATGCCATATTAAACATTTGTTATGATTCAGGGCCATATATCTCCTTTACTGTGCTCAAACTGTGCCCACTCCTCATGGTATTTTACAAGAGGGTGTAGTTTTCAGATTGGTAATTTTCATGTCTTCATGCATTTTTCAAGGCATAATATTTCTTGAAGGTGTCTCATAGCCTGTAAAGACGGATGCCCCCTGCTCTATTAGGCTGAACTTCCTTACAATCAAAGTATGTGAGGAGAAACTACCGCCTTTCCCAAAATTCTAATTACCCTGTTTTTTTTTTTTTACTTTAATCAAACTGAACCTTAAAGGGCTAAAACATTCCTTAAATGTATCCTATGGGGTGAAACACTTGCATTTCCTACACTTGATAGTTTAATTTAAGAGAGAAACATTAATCCTTACATTTATAAAATATTTAGACAACAACAAACTAAGTCTGGGAGCTGCTGCTCTGTCCTACTGCTAAGGAAAGCCTAATAAAATCCTGTGTGATCCTTGATCTGGGGGGGTTGGTCAGTCCCATTCCCATGGGAAGCCCCAGTAATAAACTTTTTATGGCAGGCAGGTGTAAGCCATAAAAGAATAAACCTCTGGAAAAGTGGATGTTGGGGGTGGAGCATAAATCTTCATTTCACACCTTAATTTGACAGATACAGCATCCTTATACTCTCTAATAGGTTATACAGTAGTAAGACTACATTTGGCATGCTAAACAACTGCTCATTACAGTCTGTGGAGCTGAACAGCACCCAGTACAAAGGAGCACGTAGAGACCCAAGTATCCTGGCTATCAGTGGAAACACACTGGGGAGAAGTCAAAATATCCCAAGACTCTGATCAATAACTAGCAATAAGTTCCGAAATAAACCTGCAACCCATGGACCCCTAGCAGGTTGAATGAGTGCCTCAAATGGCCTTCCAGCTACTGCCCTCCGAGTACGACACCTCCTATGGTGAAACAAGGTTTTATTTTGTGGCAATTTCATTAAACATATCTTTATTTAGGAAGATGCTCCACATGAGGAAATATGACTTAAAAGTAATACAAGGTCTCAAAACTGTGGATTGAGACAGGCACCATCCAACAACGAAGGACATACCTTAGTTGATATTGAGTTTAGAGGTGCAAGATTCGATACTAAACTGCCCAACAAGTGATGGATGAAGCTGGGACTCCTGTGCAGTTGCACACTTTGGCCGGTTGATAATCCAGCCCTGTGCTTTAATTTGCGATTAATCAAATTATGCAGAAGCAAATGATATAGAGTAAACCTGGGATTTGGGGGGTCCCTGGCGGTGTGGAAACCCTGGATTTTACCCACTCTGCCCGGTTTGTAATGCATCCTTGAAGGGAACCATCTGAACCCTTAAGCAGCAGCAAGTGCACCTTTACATGAAGCGATGCCTTTATTACGCATGTATCAACAGGTAACGTTGCAGACAGCCGCCTCAGCCTCTGCTCGGACACGGCGTGTGCTATCGATACCAACTTTTAAATCATCAACATATTAGCAGGAATCCGTCCATGTGCCTCGTCTTTAAATATGAACCAACACACATGGTGCTGCTGTTACATTCAAACCGTCTGACAGTCTGGAGGCTGTCGGCGCGATACGCGCTCACGAGCTAGCGTCATTTCATCTGAAAATACCTCCCAACAAACCAAACAGACAGGTATCATGAAGCAATGAAGTTGCCCATTTTTTTCGTGTTTAAACCAGGCGCGGAGGAAGGTTAAAAAGTGAATGCCGCCCTCCCAGGAGGGGCTATACTGAAGAAAACGGTCCGCTCTGACAAACCAGAGCGTCTCAATATCAACATAAACATGCTCCTGCAAGCTCTGGTCCTGGCGCATTCAATAAAGTTCCTACTGTGCGTGAGCTACAAACACCAAATCTGACCACATCTTAGCTGCCGAGGCTTAAATCATTGGAACACTGTGTGACTTCACAATCAAACATTCTGCAACCGAGTAAATTTGTAATGATTTCAGGCTGCGCCTTACCTTCAGTTCCGCACTCTCCGCCATCTTGTATTTCTTTGCGCAGGCGTGATAAGGGGTAGTCACATGACTGGGACGCGCAGCCCACTGCGTGAACGCGCACACAGCAACAGGGGTACGTTCAGGAACACAGTGGATGAAAGGAAAAAGCAGCCACAGAATGTTGTAGAACGTTACAAAGTGAGAATAGGACTCAAGAGAACAAAGTAGAGTAGAAAAGTAATAAAACAGGTCCGATCTTTGAATTAGGGCCCGTATTTAACAACCTGTAAAAACTAACATTTTGGACTGTGAAGCAAATATACTTAATATACTCCTACTCACTCTGACTTTTTACTTTCTATTTAGTGTCATGACCTCTAGAATGAAGAAGAGAATTATCCCATTTAATGTTGACCATAAGCACTCAAGTTCTTCCCCTAACTTTGCTCAGTGTCTAAAACATTGTCTCCTTGTAGTCTTTAAAATATTAAAAGTTGAAGTGTATTAAGTAATTCCACACCACTTCTCTGGCTATAATAATGTGAACCAAACATTCTAATTTTGTCTCAGACTCAAATATCTACAAATATGTCTCAAATATTTTGTTTTGCCATAATAAAACTATGCCGCCAGTGTCACATCTCATATTCTCTGGTCATATTAAGTTTCTAGTGAACCAGTACTGACTAAAGTCAAGCAATGCCAATCTGAAGAAGCTTCCTGTCCAGATCAGGTTGCTATGTGGGTTAAATTATTCTTCATCAACTGCGATTTAAATCTATTCCTCCATCCAGGTTGCAATAATGCACATAAATACCGCATTGTATTAGCCTGACAAATGTACACATTGACACACACTGATGTGCAATTTTGATCCACACTGTGCCTGAATTACTGGTACTGTATTTCATTTGTGCTCCTCAGAGCAATGGAATTCAAATTCAATAGCATTATGTCACTGCAGGTGTTTCCTTATTTGAAGTGTCCTTGGGCAAGACACTGTACTTCAAGTTGCTACTGATGGCCATCAGCACTAGTGTGTATGTGTGTGGCAAAGCTGCCAGTGGTGTGAATGGGGTGAATGGGCTGAATTTATAAAATACTTTGAGTGTGCTTAAGTGTGTAGAAAAGCAATATATAAGTACAATTGGAATTAACTTTTTTATTCTATGATTCGTTAATTCATTCATTCAGTGTGTGATATTCCATGTTTATTTTATAAGCAACACATTAGAGCCTAAAGATGCAAGAAAATATAAGCTGCTGGATTTGCATAAGCACACATTTTTAAAATATAAGTGAAGTAAAAAACAGCATAGTATACTTTAAACAAAATTTAAAGCTGTTCAGTTAAAGTTAGAACTATTTCATTGCTTGGTGTTGCCAGTTTGTTGTGTGGCCATTTTTAATGACACTGGAAACTTGAAAACCTGTGTCTGACACGAGTGAGCAGCAGGCCTGTACAGACTGGTTGTGAGCCACCTCAGCAGTAGGTATTGTCAGGACTGGCTCCTTCCTGTCCATCTCTCTCATTTTGTTCATGGCTACAGGATACATGCAGCACCTATGACTCAGAAAACTGTGGAGGACACACACATCCTAACTCACACACGTTCTATGCAAATTCCATAACAGTGTTCAGTCCATTCAAGATGCAGAAAGCTAAGATAACACACTGTGACAACTCTGTCTCTTTCCCCTCTCCACGTCTCACTGTTTGCATCTGCAAACAAAACCAGTGTTGTTTACCTTATATAGACATATATTTACAGCTCTACTGTTTATAATACTGTGGGATGTATTCATGGCTACACTGAAGTCATTCTCTATCTGAGTGCTCCACCGACACGTATACTGTCTTGCGTTGCCATAAGTTTCAAGACCTGATATGAGAATAAGAACACACAAAAGAACTCCATCACTGCACCAAGTCTAATATAATGCTCAAATTAGAAGTCCCTCCTGTATTTATTTATTTTAAACTACTGGACCGTGTGCCAATAATGCCAACGTCATATAGGTTAACTGCAGTTATTACTCTGTGAATACATGATGTATTTTTAAAAAAGTGTCAGTTTATGTTCAATTTGTTGTTGCAGTTCTTTGTGTGCATGCTTTAAACAGTATGTGTCTGTATCTGTGCAGTGACATTTACAAAATATTCATTCACAGAAATACAGAACTCCATTTAGCAGAGGGGCTAGTCCAGCTTTTTGGCAGTGAAACCGTTTCAGTTTGTTGCAATTCAGGGTGCCAATATATAACGTTCTATGGCTGTTGCATTTACTGAGCATGATGATGTATAACAGTCAGCAGTGGTGGAAAGTAACGAAGTACATTTACTCAAGTACTATACTTAAGTACAGTTTTGAGGTAAGGGTACTTTACTTGAGTATTTTCATTCTCTGCTACCTCATACTTTTGATTTCACTACAGGTAAACACTAACATCATCTAAATATTTGTGGTGAGCTGAACTTTCTGCTGTGGTTCTGATGAAAATAGTTTTCTCAAAGCTGAATTTCCATAACAAAACTCAAGTTCTGTGGAATTTAGTGCATCGTACCAAATCTTAGAGATGATCACGATTGAACATGTTGTATCAGCACACACATAATGGGTCTGTACTCTTAGGAGCACTGAATCCATTTTGATTGGCTCCATCCAAAGATTTTTTATTTCTTTTTCTATGGTAACTTCACACAACTAGGTCAGTTTGAGCCTGTGAATACAGTTGTGTAATGTCTGTGGTGGCTCTGGGGAACGTGCCAAAGTTTAAAAAAGAACTATAATGTTAAGAAGTCAAATTTTCAGAAAATAACTGAAACTCTAAAACATTCAAATGATTAATAAAATATAAATATAATGTTTATTGTTGGAGGGTGGAGCGGTGGTGAGAAGTGCTGACCACAGTGGTTTTACATTTCTAGTTATAAACCCCTGAGGACAAAAAAGGCCACTTGTCATTTGTCACTTGGAGATTCAAACAAGGAGTTATTTGCAGTAATTTGATGTCACTGCCTTCTATAAATGGTCAGTTTTAAGTACAATCAGAAAATAGGTCTAAAACAAAGTACACTGCCACTGAGAAAGCCAAAGCCCAGTGAAGGATTTGGTTCTGGTAAAGCCAGTAGGTGGCACCCTGTCATTTCAAATGAAGAATTACCCAGAATAACAGGAACTGAATCCTCCATAGTGTTTTGTCCTAAAATTCAGCCTGTATTTGTTTCTAAGCAATGACAGTACAATGGTTTTATACCTCCGTACTAAACAACATTTCACTGTGACACCACATTAGGCTTTATGCCCAAATCCATTATCAGAAAATGCTTGTTCCCTCAGGGTTCATACAAAGAATCTATTGACAAACTAGTTCTGCTGCTTATTTCATACATAGAGAATCACAGAGGTTTTATTATATCATTATGTATCACTGCCATCTGTTGTATTGTTGATGGTCGGTGATGGGACAGGTGTCTGTGACCACACATATTTATACAAGCAAGTCATTAATCAGTAGTACAAACTGCAAGTTCTGTCAGACAATATGTCCAACAGGAAGATACAACAGCATTCTTCTTTTAAAATGTTTGATATGACAATGTTTGGCTTTAATGTAAGCTTGTGTAAATGCACTCAGCTTGGTCTCCTGAGAGCGGCAGACAGACATTTGAAACTGAGCTGATTACTCCAAGAACGTGTAAAACAATACTAGGAGTGAAAGAGATGGCTAAAATACTATTTTAGAGTGCAATTTATGTAATTTTATACTGTGATTATCAAGCTATAAATATAATATAACCTCACCGGCCACTTTATTAGGCACACCTGTAGAATTATATGAAATTCAATACAGCACTTCCACTTTAATAACATCTGTGTTTATGAGGCATTTATGACAACTTCACCAAAAGCTGAAACATTTTGAGCTTCATTAACACAAATGTTAAAGCAGATGTGTTGCACTGAATTGCATACAATTGTTCAGGTGTACCTAATAAAGTGAATGTCAATGTATTGTATTGAGAAAATCAACTGAAAAACCATTTATGGATGAAGTGTACAGATAACAAGTGTTTAATCTCAGTGGTAAAAAGGATGTAAGAGTACTGTTCTTAAGTACAGATTGGAGGTACTTGTACTTTACTTGCATAGTTTCATTTTCTCCTACATTACGTCATCATTACTACATCACATACTGAGTTTATAAATCGCATCGTTGTTCCTCGATTACATTTGTTGTACTTGTTACTTTTCAGTAACAACAAGCTACAACATTAAAACGCAGCTTATGTGTTAATCCATCAGGTAGAATGATCCAGCAGTTATGATTACATATCACACACTGGTGCATTTTTACACGAAGCTTACGTCATCATTACTACATCACATACTGAATTCATAAATCGCATTTTTGTTCCTTGATTACATTTGTTGCACTTGTTACTTTTCAGTAACAAGCTACAACATTAAAATGCAGTTTATGTGTTAATCCATCAGGTAGAATGATCCAGCAGTTATGATTACATATCACACACTGGTGCTCTACTTTTATCCCAGTAAAACTGTAAATGCTTGACTATTACTTCTACTTATACTATGTACTTCCTCCACCAGTGGCAACAAATAAAGGTATTTTATCATATTAATGCAAAAGTCATATAAGCATCAAACATTCCGGTAAAGCAGCTGCACCTATTAGCTTCTTATGCAAGAGAGAGGAGCATGACAAACTCTCTGATGGACAGACGGATGGATGGACAGCTATCATTAAGTTTTGGTAACGTGTACTAATAAATGTGTGTAGTTTAATAAGAGCGTGTGATATAAAGTACAAGCAATGTAAAAACACAAGGCACATTTGAAACAAGCCCCTTAAGTACATTAAACTTTAAAGTTGCATAATTATGAAATTAGCATGAAATCATTTATAATGTGAGCAGTAAACAGCTTTCAGATCTTCTGTCCTCAAACTCACAACAGACTTCGTTTACAGTTTAACTTTGGATGGTTTTAGAAATGCCTGAAGTCACCGTGCTAAGGAAACGGGTTTCTTTTTTCCACCTACAGTATCACAGTGGGTGGATCACTGGTTTCTGGGCACATGGTTCAGGGGCCCAAGGGTTGGATGTCCTCTGGGCCCAAAAAGAAATGTAGAACAACCACAAAGAAACATAAAATGACTACAAAGAGATAGAAAACAACTACAACAAGATGTAAAACCACCAGAATGACTATAAAAAGAGAGAGACACAAAGCCAACACAACAAGATGAACAGCTAAAAGATGCAAACTCACTATAAGATGCAAAATAACTACAAAGAAATAATAATTCACCACAGAGATGCAAAGCCATTAGAAAGAGACACAAAGGTTAAAATCACTAAAAAGACACACAATATAAACAAAAAACCAACATTACCACAGTGAGATGCAAAACGACAAACAAAAAACACAGACACAAAAACTACAGATGTAAAATGATTAAAAAGAAGTGCAAAATTTCCACAAAGTGATGCAAGAGATGGGTGTTTTTACATGTTTGAGCCCAGGGCTGCATGGTCACATAATCCATCCACGCTTGTCACCACATAATGTTTTGCATAATGTGAAACAGCTAAATAAAAACACTGTAAAACGGCCAATTTTTCTCTCAGTAGTTCAGTTCAGCTTTGCGGGCCCTGTTAGTATTCAGAGAGAGCCAGCTTTGCCATGGAGGGCAATTACGTTCACAGAAAATTAACATTCACTGTGTGTCAGTGACATTATGTGAGTATCTGTCTCAGTATGAAGCATCCAGGGACAGAGAGCCATGTAATCAATAT